AAAAACCAAAATTTAGAAGGATTTGACTTCAAGTCCGATTCCACTTTGAACATATATTGCTTAAATAGAAACTTATGGAGAGAGTCGAACTTCTTTCTCAGAAAAATAAATTTCTGCCGATCCTCTTCATTATTACTATTTCTCAGCTTTTTATATGCTTTATTTTTAACATTTTTTAAATGGGAAAGCTTTGAATTAAACCACGGAGGTTTTCTATTTATTACGATATGCCTAGACGGAACATAATTGGAGATGGCTTGCAGAAACCATTGACGCATAATATCGTAATGATCCTTCAGTCTAGCTAAAGACTCCAAAAATGACCAATCAATGTCACGCAAAAATTTATTCATTGCAGAAAAGTCTGCCCGAAAGTAATTATATTCCACTGCGGACTCAAGCGGCTTCTTTTCAAAATTATAAAAGTCAAAATTAACATCTAGAGCTTTATGATGCAAACTATTATCTAAAATAGGCGCTGGGCTTTCAAAGCATGATATTTTAAGTTCTGCAGTAGCAAAAATCAGATCTAAAAACCTACCATTATTGTTTGAAACCGAGTTATATTGCTTAAAACCGTGCGAAAACATTGTCGATATAACTAGTTCATCTATTTCAGACTTGATATTCGTAGGCAATATGTTATTACTATGATTCTGCCAAGAAATGCTACTTAAATTAAAATCTCCTAGGAAAATAATCTCATCAGACGGCTTAGCATTGTTAATTATATCTACAAGATTATCTAAATGACTTTGATAAACAGCAATATCACTATTAGGCGGAATATAAGATATTAAGAGCAAAGTAGTTTTATTGTTAGTAAACTTAACACTAACACAAATTTGCTCCAGATCACTACCAACACCATTCAGATAAACAGCTTTGCTGCAAAAATCCGTTCTGACTGCAAGTAAAACGCCGCCACCTCTAACAAGGCCCGTAGTATCTGAGCAGCGATCTTTTCGATAAACATAATAGTCGTCGCCGAAAAACTCATTCGAAGAAAAATTTGCATTTAACCAAGTCTCAGTTATAGCTATAACATCGAAATCATGTCTTAAAACATTGAGATGAAATCGTACGCATTCCACTCGCATTGTGATAATGTAAAAAATAGTTTGGGGTTGAGGAGCGATTTGGTTTGGCAGATTCATTCACGTTACTGATTCTGCAGCGTTGGCGTTTTGAAAAAATTGGAATGGGCGCACCTTAACGTTTACTGGCCAGAACGCTGAGCTTAGCAGTTTATTATAGTCTGATGAAGAGACACCCAACTTGAAATTAACTCTTACCAATTTCTTCAAAGAGTCAGCAGAAAGGTTTTTTTTAATAAGCTTATAGCAAGAGATGCTGTTAGAATCAATCGATGTATGTTTAGCGACAAAATTTATTATGTCACTTTCGTTGACAGAGGGCTTAAAAGACGACAAATGCAACCATTTGAGCGGAACAACAACATCCAATTCTTTACTGGGATTACTACCAACAACGGTGGAACTCTTTTTATTGTCTTTCCGTACACCAGCACCAGAAGTTTTATCGATAGAAAGTGCATTAGCACTAGCGGATGTCTTGTCATTATTTCTCTTAGCAGCAGCAAGTCCGAGAGAGCACATGGTTCCAGAATTACTAGCAACAACAGAATCAGCAGTAGAAGCATTGACGTTAGGAAGTGTATTATTATTAGCAGATGTTTGCTTTTTATTACTTTTAGCAGTGACGAGAGAACCAGAAACAGCATTCGCATACGATAATGGTGTCGTACCAATTACATCAGGAGAAGTAACGTCAACAACACACGAAAAAGCAGACGAAGCGTCAATACTGTTTATATCGGCATTGTATTTGGCAGTGAGCATAGGCGAAGATGACATGTTAACTACATGTTATTAGGATGAGCCGCAATTGGTTGTGATTCCACAATAGGCTTTTTGTTATTATAGATGGCACTAACAACATTACAAAGCTCTTTAACCTCAGAGGTGAGCGAGGAAATTGCTTTGTCTTTATCGCGGCTGCTCTCTTTAATAGCAAGCAGTTCGGAATGCGAATTTACAGCTATCTTCATTAGATTCGTTTTATCTTCATGCAAAACTGTTATCAGCTGAAGCATTCGGGCATTCTCAGCACGAAGAGTGGTGATCTCTTTGGACAAAGATAACAAGGTTATTTGATGTTTACTGTTGTTCTCATTAGAAGCATCACTCTGCTTTGCAGAAGTAAATGACTTCGGCTTGGGATTTATTGAAGTCGATTTGATATTATTTGACATATTTCCAGTATTCTCTTCATTAGAAACGAAGGGTTTAGGAGGCGAACGTAAAGAGCTCCGACGTACATCAGCGCAGACCTTACAGAAGAGGCTCTTATCTGTATTGAGCATAAATTCAGCATCCGACGGCAAAATACCAACACAATCGGTATGAAAAAGTTCATTGCACTTCGCGCACTGCACTTTCGATTGGCCGCGATCAAGTTTTTGGCCACAACAACAAGGCATAATATAATTTCTGATTGTATTATTAGATCATTTATTGAAAGATTTAGATTTTCTAAAGAGTCACCGTCTCCAAATTGTAGTACACTCGAACCATTGCAAAGTATCGAATACATTAAAATTAACTTTCACTGTCACAGTAAGGCGATTAGGAAGAGCGCAAGAAAAACACGTCCGCACAGCGCGGCGGAAGAACAACGAGTTCTGAGTCTCCAATACCCGAAACTGCGACAGACGATTTTGATTTTTATACCCGAGCGCACTTGTGCACAAGGGTATTATAACTTTGTTCACATAACGGTTGTTTGTAACAGGCAAAACGAATCGAGATAGATATAGACAAATGTATACATAAATGATCAGAATGAAAAGAGAAATCGATTAAGCGGTGACTGTCTGTCCGTCCGTC